CTACACACTGTCCCCTTGAGGTGGTTGTGATACAGCTAACAGGTCTCCACTCATTACTGGTATAGGAGGATTGAGTGGATATTCAAACACTCCACTAGTACTGACATTAGTGGTAGAATAATAAATAGTTCTCTCACTACCAGTCACTAGACTACCATTAGGTCTAAAGACCTGGACACTGGGATAGAGATTACGAGTATCAGTAGCTACCCTCACATCAATACCCAATATAAGACTGGTTATAGTAGTGGATGAACAATTGAACTGATACTCTTGAAGGACTCTGAGCTCATTGTCCAAGTCATTACCAACTGCATTAGTGTTAATATGTTCTGCTCTGTATGTCACCAGGGACAAATCCATAAATCTCTCTGTACATTCTTGTTGACTTTGTACATTACCTTTAAAATGAACAATAGAAAATTAACAATATAATTTTATTTATTACTTGATAAAAACCAGGTTAAGCTAATTAGTAATAAAAGCAGATCAGCTAAAAGAAGTCTCATCCTTTTCTCCGTCTATATCTATCCTTACACCCAATGCTATAAAAACAGTGATGGTGATAAAATTTACTCCTACACTACAGTGGAGTAGGAATAAAAATACTTTGGGGTGCCACATGCCACATGCAGTTGTTAGTGATAACAGCTAGTTAAGAATGCAGAATAGTGAAATATACCATTTGAATTTCAAAGGTGTTGCTTTTCTCAATTCGCATTATAAATTAATTAAGGTATATCGCTTTCTATTTGCTCTGGCCCCTTCACAGATTTGTAGTACAAACATTATGTCACATTCCATGCACCATTTAGGGTTTTTCTCATTTTAATTACTAACATAGCAACAAAACCCATTTATTAACCAGGGCCGTAGCCAGGAACTTGAAAAAGGGAGTTCGGAAATTGCTGCGCGCGAAGCGCGCAGCGAAAAATTTTTGCGAAAATGGGCGTGGTTGGTAGGCGTGGTCTTAATTTACGCATCTCAGCCATGTGCTGACTCAGCTAAAATGGCTATCTGTGCTTCTCGCTGTTGCCAAAGTGCTAATCCTGCTTTTGCAGTGCTGTTCTTCATGACAGGAGCTAATCTAAAACTTTTTTGCAGCTACAACAGGGGGGTTCGTCTGAACCCCCCGAACCCCCCCTGGCTACGGGCCTGTTAACTATAATTATGTTTATATATAATCATCAATTTCATCATAGGAGCAATCTTGTATTATCACTTGATCCAATTCTTCATAATCTACTGCATTACATTCATTCCCAACATTGGCGGCATATGCTGGATTATCCTGTATTGTCACTGCAATAGGGTTAGTAGTAATGTATGCTGGATTGTCTTTCATGTCTGATGAATCAATACTAACATGTCCTTTTTTCTTGATGCAAACAGCAACAGACAGCACTATTATTACTAAAGAGGCAAGAATAATACATGCTACAATGCCTGCAATTATGTATACTGCAACTGGTGCTGTGTTTGTAGTAGTAGATGATGTGGATGTACTGACTACAGATGATGGGAGAGAAGATGGCTCCATGCTGCTGAGGATAGCAGTTGATAGTGTTGCACGTGAGCTAACAGATATCACAGTAGGGATAGCAGATACATTATTAGGAGGAGTAGTAGATGATGAACTGCTCAGATAAACACCAGTCATCACGAAGGAACTGCTAATGGCAGTACTAGATCTAGTTACAGTAGTAGCAATAGCTGAAGAGTCGTTGTTAGTAGTAGTATTGACCATTGTTGAACTAACTGGATTGGTATCAAATAAACTGTTAGAATACGTAGATGACAAAAGTGATGGATTAAAATTATCACTTATACTGATACTAGATGAGATGCTAGGAGGAATAACTGCAGTCACTGATGAACTAGTAGTGGCAGTGACCAGTACAGATGAAGTACTACTGAGAGTGATGGGCACCACTGTAAAAATAGTGCTAATAGTAGTTGTGGTAAGTGCTGTAGAGGCTGTTATTATAGAAGTTGTACTAGATGCCACTGAGACTGAATACATATCATAAAAAAGCATAAATATTATCAATAACTTACTTGATACTTCTACAGTGACTAATGGGAAATCATTAGTTGTGTCTGTTACAAGTGCTTGAGTTATTGTTGAAGAAGGATCAGCAACATTACCATCAACTCGTTCATTAAGTGGCCCATTCCCTACCTGCTCATAAAGGTCAAAAAGTCTTTCAGTTGATTGAGGAATATAAACACCAAATATGTCTCCTTCCTGGAACTGCAGTGGAGTCTGAGGAATAAACTCATAGAGATTAGTACCAATCATTGTATTAGCATTAACTAAACTAGATTCTATTTTATTGTAATTATTGGGACCCAGTTGACGCCATATTTGGAGCTCAGGTAAATCATTTCTGTTATTGCCTGAAACTGGCTCTCCTCCATATATCCATTTAGTGAGGGATCCATTACATGAGAACACAATTTCAGGATATAAATACTGCCTTCTATCATTAATTGCTGCACTACTTTGGATTGTTAGAAAATTATTTCTAATAACTGATGGAGTGATTGAATTGGTACTATTAGCACAGTATCCATCTAATGATAGTAAAATAATTCAATGATACAGTGAGTGTGTGTCTTACCTGTTACTGGATATACTAATATCAACTGATTTGTGATTGGAGAGCTACCTAAATCAATTTGATCTGGACTTATTGATATTTCTACACTGCTACTAAAACTGATTCCAGATACATCTTCAATGTAATAGACTCTGACAGCACTCTCCTCCTCAAGAGGTTGTGATACAGCTAACAGGTCTCCACTCATTACTGGTATAGGAGGATTGAGTGGATATTCAAACACTCCACTAGTACTGACATTAGAGGTAGAATAATAAATAGTTCTCTCACTACCAGTCACTAGATCATACTTCCCAGGATCAATGCTATTAGGTCTATAAACTCTAACACTTGGAAATAAATTAATACTACCAGTAGCTCTACTCACATCAATACCCAATATAAGACTGGTTATATTAGTGGATGAACAATTGAACTGATACTCTTGAAGGACTCTTATTTTGTCACTTGATATCATTTCAGTGGCAGTAGCTGACGTGTGTTGTGCTCTGTATGTTACTTGTGACAACTCCA